CTGCTCTGTATATTGAGTCTGACTGTCATTAACTCAGTTCTTTATGTAAATGGACTTAACTACCTGTTCACTTACATCATTCTCTTCTAGAAATGGTCTATTATTAATAAAGGACATCATAATTCTAGAAGTGGTAGCTGCTTTTATGGATACTACAGAAGATTTTATTAAAAAAGAGCTTCTTCTTTATTTTTTAAGAATAGTGACTTCTTAATTAGAATAGATATTTCAAATTTGATATTGAATTTGTTATGTAGAATTGTTTCTGCTTCTGGTAAGACCTTTTCTTTATAGAATTTAGTTATTTTAGAATAATTTGGTAAGTTGTCTTATATGCAATCAAAGTATGCAATAATTTGAGCTAAAAAATCTGTATCAATAAGTTTAGCTGTAAGGAATTTGATAGCTTGTTGTTTATTCATTTTGTTAATATTGTGATTTTGAGCAGCAGTGTTATAGTATATAGATAAGTATTGGTAAAAATTGAAGCCTCGTCATTTAGGATTAGTTTTAACAGTATTGAAAGAACAAGTGTATTCTTCTGCTTTTGTTGCTAGTTCATCAAGAGTCAAAGTAGGAATTGGTTTTGTGAATATTGCTTCATGTTTGCCTTAATATAGAATATAGATATATCAAGAAAAGATTCATTTCATGTTTCAGTATTTTCTTTTGGGTAGGTTTTGTAAAATGTTTTAAATATATCTTTAATAAGTGTAGATGAATTGTATATAGATTGTGATATAAAGGTTTTCTTTAAATTAGTATCAGCTTTCTTTGTTTTCTCTTTTGTATCAGTTGGTTCAAGATAGAAACATTTAGAGTCTATACAGGTGAATGCATGATAATTAGCATATCTAAAAGTTTTATAATATCATTCTTGAAGATTATTTAGTTTTATGAATTTGATATTAGTTGGTAAAAGATTTTTCAAGTGTGAAATAAAATATTGTCTGAATTTATATTTAAGATATTTAGATACTTTGGTTTTGTTAATTGCATTAAAAAATTGTTGGCTATATAATAAAAAGGCTTTCTTAAACCATTCATTAAAATAACTAAATGAATTTTTAAGTGATAGTATATTATATTTGTTAAGAAAAAGAGATTTTGGGAGATTAAAATTTAGTTTATATTGAATCGATTATCCATTTTAATGAAAAGATATTGTTGTTCTTTATTGAAATCAGTAATCTTAGATATTATCTTAAACCTTTTAGGTCTGAGTTTGATATCTTTAACAAATTTTGTATAGTTGATTGCTTGATAGGTATTAGAAAGATATAAATATAAAGAAGTGCAAAATTGTAACCAGTTTTCAGTTTTAATTAGTGGAATTGTAGCAAGAGAAGCAAATATTTTAGGATAATTAAGTTTGGTAAAGAAGATGGTTGTGAATGTATAAATAAGTTTTTTAAGACTTTCTTCTAAATATTAAAAAGAATTGTTGTAGTTTTATCTGTTTTGAAGTTGTGTTTTTGAATTAGGTCAATAAAAAATTTTGGTTTGATACTAGCCATTTGTCTAATCAACAAATAGAAACTAGCTTTAAGTACATATTTTGTTTTTATGGCTTCTTTAAGAACTTTATTAGGATAAAAATTATATAAATGTTCTTTAAGAAAGTTAAAAAATTGTCATGATATCTCAGTTTCTAATTTTGTATAATTTTTGTATTTCATTAATGACTGGAAAATTTGCAAATCAGTCAAATGATAAATTGAGTTTGGGTCTTGCTGCTTGGCTATAGGATTGCTTATTTGATTTTTGGTGTTGTTGTTGTTCATTATTATTTGTTTTATCTGTAATAGGAGTAAAAAGTATAAGATTGGAAATAAGAGAGTTCTTGGTAATAAGTTGTTATTGATATGGATTTTGTTGTTTTTGTTGTGTTTGTTTTAATAATTCTAAGAATTCTTTGAAAATTAAAATTTTCTCTTCTTTGGATATTGTAATAAGTTTGATTACAAGAGCAGTTTGAATTTGTATAGTGGTAAGTGCTTTAGTTTGAGTAATAGGTTTGAGTTTGAGTTTGTAAATACATTTAGGATGTGCTAAAAATTCTTTAATGATAAGAATAGATTTGTTGAGAAGTAAGTGTATATTATTTTCTAAAAAAACACATATGATGTTTTTATTTTAGCAAATAATACAAATATATGCATGATGAGAATGTACTTGGATTTGGAGAGTTTGTTTTGAACTAGATAAAGTTCTTTGTTGAATTGTAGAATAGTTTAAAGAAAATAATAAAGAAGGAACAGTAGTTGTTTTTGTAATTAGTAATTAAGGAATGATTTCTTTAAGTTGTTTAACTTGTTTAGTTGTAATATCAATATCTATATATGTGGATTTTTAAGAAGAAGAAAGAAGAGTTGTTTGTTTAGATAGAATATTAAGATTACTAAAAATAAAAAGAATATAAAATTTTTGGCAATAATAACAAATAATAGTAGGTTGAATAGAGATTTTAAAATAGTGAAAAGATTTAGCAATATTGCATTCAGATGGGTTAAATGTAAATAGTATCATTTTAAGTTGTATAGGTTGCACTTCTTGAATTATTGTACCATAATGATTACTGTACTTGTTATGAAAATAGTCAAGATTAAAATGATCTGGCTCTTGGGTAGTCAAAGTAGGTATTCTGTTTGATAGAGAAGAAAAAATGCTACAGGTATACTTAAGAACAAAAGTTAATATTACTTAGTAAAATTTTTTGTTATTAATTATTGAAGTTTTTAATATATAAAATTTATAATAGTGAGGGTTGACTTAGAGAGATATGATGTAATATTGTGATTACTGTGGCTACTGTGGCTTTGTATAACCTTGAGGATAATCTTGTGTAACTTATATAGTACAAGGTATAGCTGGTGTAACAAGTGTGGCTTAATATAACAATTTAGTTACACATCTCAAAAAAGTCTTGTAATAGTGTACAAAATCAAATTAATAAAAGAAAAAAAACCAATAAAAAATTATATATTATTTTAAGTACTATTAATTGGTTACTATGAAAATAATTGTAGTAATAATTTAATATTACATAAAAATCGTATAAAAGAAAAAAAGATTGGGGTAAAGAAAAAAGAATTTTTTAAGAAGTTTATAAGAGAAGTAAAGTTATTTTTTAAAGAGTTTTCATTAATATTAGGTCTATTGGATTCATTTAGACCTTGTTTTGATCGGAGAAATAAGCTCTACAACTTTACTTAGAACTATAGAATAGGTTATAAAGTTAATTGTTAAGAAATAATTAAAGAAAAAGTTTAAAAGTCAACAGACTGTTATTGCAGTATTAAACTGCAAGTTTGAGAGCTATCTCTATGAAAATTTTCAAAATATATGTAATATTAGAAGCTAAGCAAGTTTATTTAAGATATTAAAGTTAGTTATCTTAATAAAATAACCAGATATTAATGATTTTAATACTAATAAATTTTTAGTTATTTTGTATAAAAATGATTTACAGAAAGAGTTTTAATTATTAAATTTTTAAAAAAATAAAAAATAAAATATATAATATAAAAATTATAAAAATTAAACTAAAAATTTTAAAATTATTAATAAAAAGAAAAAATCTATTAACTAGATAAAAAAAACTTCTATTTAAATAAAAAAACTTAATAATAAAAATAAAAATCTAATAATTTATAAATTAAAATTTAAATATTAATAGTTATAATTAGTATAAAATTTTAATAAATAATAAACTTAATATTTATTTAAATATTTACCTTTAATAATAATAAAAAAAAAACTGGTTACTAAATAAAAAATTTTTATTTAAACAAAAAACTTAATAATAAAAATAAAACCAATTTATAAAATAAATTTTAAATATTTATAATTATAATTAATATAAATTTTAATAAATATAAAATTAATATTATTAAGAATAGTAATCTTAGTGTAGTAGTTGGGTTGTCATTCTTCAAGTGGCAGGTCTAAGATTCAAATCTCATCTTTGATGAAATTTGGAAATTATATCTGTATTATAGTAACTGTCTTCTGTTGATCAGTTGGCTTCATGTGGCTATTACTCAGATACACTAAGTCAGGTTCTACTAACATTGGGAGCTCGGGCATCTATGCAAAGTGTAACATTACATGTATATAAAGAAATGATAACTGATGTTGTATAAGACTTCGGTGCAAACCTATGATAAGACCATCAAACATAGAAAACTAAGGAACTGTGGTAATGGAAACCTACTTGGAAATTCCTGAGTAAAGAAGTAACATGAACTTTTGACAGTACTATCAGACTGGTTGAAGCCTATAAAACACCTTTATAGGAACTGAAGATTAAAACTGAACATCAAATATGTATAAAGGAGCATATAACCAACCAGGCTGTCAGATTTGCCAGAAGAAAAAAATATATAAATATACTATATTGGGCCATCTGGATTGGTAGTCTAGAATGAAACTAACAGTTCTGAATTGCAGCCAGTAAGGAATGATAGAGAAGGTGCCAGGAAAGATAGGTACTAGAGTTCTAATAAACTTTACAAGAGTAGAAATAATGTAACATAGTAGTTAAACAGGTAACCTCTGTAACTGCAAGTGTTAGATAACTATAGCATGTTGCATAAAACTAGGTCTATATATGTAGGACATAAAGGCTCTAATAAGTTTCCTATCGAGGATAAAGTAGTCCTAAAGATAATGATAAGCATCAGAAACTTGGATAGGTGTAGCCTTGAAATGTTCTTATGATACAAGAAGGATTGCATATGCAGAAGGTTTAAATAGGCAAGACCTCTAGTTGGCTTACAGGTATGGCAACTAGTATAGAACTTATATAGTAATATGTAAGTAGACTACTTAAATTAGACACCAAAAGTGCACATGTGGCTAGTTGTAACCTCCAATGTAAGAAAGCCTCTAGAGGCTCCTATTTTCTAACAAAACTTGAATAAAATATTGCATTCCCAAAATAGGGACTTTAACTATAAAAAAAAAAAAAAAATTAATATTTATTTAAATATTTACCTTTAATCATCATCTGAATTTAAATAATCTTCAGGTTCCCAATTATAATTATCTTGTTCTGAAATTTGACTAGTTTGTTTATCAAGATTTTCTAAAATTTCATCAGTTTCTAATAATAAATCTTCATCATTATTTTTAATATCAGAAAAATTTTCTAAATCATCAATAAAAATTCATCATTTAAATCTAAGTTTTCTTTTAAAAATAAAACTAAATTCTTTTTAGTTATTGTATTAGATTTACTAAAATCTAAATTATTAAATAATAATTCATCTTTATCAAGTTTTTTTTTTTCTAATCTTTCTTCAAAAGTCTTAATATTTATTTGATTTAATATTTTTAAAAATTTATTTTCAGTCATTTTATTTGCAAAATAAGAAAGTTCTTTTTTTGCATTAGAATTATAATATGTACATAGTTTGCAATTGTTTCTAAATTTTGAATATCTATTTGTATTTATTTAATTTCAATTAGACAAGTAAATAAAGAAAAATTCCTTTTACATAAAATATTATTTGAAACAATTGCTAAAATCTTTAATACTAATTCTTGAAGATATTTAGGTTCTAGTTCAATTGAAGTCTACCAAGTTATAGGAATATCATAACCTTGTGCATATGGTTGATTATATAGATATTTATTTTCTTTATAAAGTCAAAGATGAGTAACTAAAACTTTCAACTTGCATAATCTTTTTCAAATTTTTGCCAAATAGAACCAACAATTTTAATAATTCTAAAAAATTGTTCATTTTTAAACCTTAAATCTAAATTATAAAATAAAATTTATAAGGTGAGTATGGGTATTATGGCACATTACCAATTATGGCACAATTGCAATATCTCATGAACTGTCAATCAGAATTGTATGATTTTGGTACCAATCAATTCATCTCACTGAGATGAATTGATTGGTATCAGAATTGTATGATTTTGGTACTAATCAATTTATCTCACTGAGATGAATTAATTGGTACCAGAATCGTGAGATTCCAATCACCAAATCATGAGATATTGCCGCTAAAGTGATATTTATTATTATTTCTATATATGTATTTACAAGGAAAATCATATACATTTATTAAAAAGTCTTTTTAATTAAAAATTTACTATACAATAGATAGAGGGTGTTCTTCAAGCATTTAGTCAATCAGTCAGAACAGGTTTAGAAACAAATTTTAATTAGCAAAAAGAAAAAAAGGTTAACAAAGCAAATGTGTTTAATCACTGCATCAAAATTAAATTTAGTGAAAGATCATTTAACTGTATAGACGACCCAGGTATATTACATTTCACCGAATACAGCTGTTATCATTATTCTTGGGATGCTTTATTATAAATTAACTGAATGATTATTCTGCCGATTCGATAAATTATTGGTTTCGGCATGATCAATGAAGCTTAACAAAGCAAATGTGTTTAATCATTGCGTCAGAATTAAGATTATTTAACTGTATAGACACTCGGGTATATTAAATCCACCGATTACAGCTGTTATCATTATTCTTGGAATGCCTTATTATAAATTAACTAAATAATTATTCTGCCGATTCGATAAATTATTGGTTTTGGCATAATCAATGTAAATGTTTATTATTTACGAAGATAGCCTAAAGCTTGGTGTTAACTGATTTGTAAATTAAATTCACATGAAACTACAATGTACGTACTTACCTTGCTTTAAAACAATAAACGTTACATTATCAAATCAGTGGAATAATCATTCAGTTAATTCTTCACAAGGTGTTTCAGGAATAATAATAACATACCTGGGAGATATATTGCTCGGCGGGAGGGTATAGTAATGGGTGGAGTTTTTGTTAAATCTAAATTACTAATCAAAAACCCCCGGGTCTCTTACATTCCACCAAATTCTTGACCCCGGTTTAGACCCAGATATATTGGGGGTCTACGGTATTTATCATTTCAATTACGAATTGTTTGGTTAATTCATTATTCAAATTTTTTGGATGTAATCATTAAATAGTAAAATAAAGGCCATTAAGGTTTAAATTTGAGGAATATTTGTGCCATTTTTAGTGAACACAATCAATCTAATGTGTAACAAATAAGCCACATTTGTTCATACGTAAATAAGTAAATAAGTATTTAAGCTGTTTTAAACCAGAATTTTATCTGTGGATTGCCTTTCACTGTGAATTTATTAAATCAAAAATTTACAATAAAAAAAAAATGTAAAATTGCACATTATGCCACTTAAAAAAGATAAAACTATCTGAAATAATTCTATTGAGAAAGCCCTTAAGGCTATAAAGAACTCCTCAAATAATCCTACAGCTCCAAGTGTGAGGAGTATCGCACGAGAATTTGATATTCCAGAATCAACCCTTAGATGTGTTATTTGAAACGATGGTCCTCTCAAACATCTAGGTCCTAATAAAGTTTTAACCAACCACGAAGAAGAGCAACTAGTTGGTTATTGCTTGAACATGCAAAGACTTGGTTTCAGATTGTCAAGGTCTGGTGTGAATCATTGTGTGATGGAAATTGTTAGTAGAGATGGGTGCCCACATCCTTTTAACAAGAATGGACCAGGCCAAGCATGGTGGAAATGGTTTTTAGAAGATCACCCTGAACTTTCATTTTGCGTCCTGCAGGCTTTAAATGAAGCACGTGCCCAAAAAGCAAATCCTATTATAATCAATGATCATTTCAACAAACTTCAAAAAATTCTTACTGAATATTTACTTACCCCTGATCGTATCTGAAATATGGATGAGACAGGTTCTATTTCCTTTTTTTTTTTTTTTTTTTTTTTTCCTTTTTTTTTTTTTTTTTTTGAATTCAGGTCTTAAACCCGGGCAAGATTATATCTAATAATAATATATGAGATAGGTTTTATTATTGAACCTAAACTTCAAAAAGTCATTGCAAAGAAAGGTGCACGTCAGGTTTATCGTGTTTCGTACAGCAGCAATCATGAACACATCTCCATATGCCCAACTATTTCAGCTGCCAGAACTTACATACCTCCATTAATAATATACAAAGGAAAGCGGATGATCCCAGGCCTTTTAGACGGTGCTCCTGCTGGCACTGTTATGGGGTTTACTGATATGGGGTATATGCGAGAGAGCCTTTTTAGAAAATATATAGAGCATTTTGTTAATTCTATTCCTCCTATTTGACCTGGTTTACTAATCCTTGATGAACACAAGAGTCACGTCAATTATACTTGTATCAATTTCTGTTATAAAAATAATATACTTCTTTACACCCTTCTACCACATACTACCCACATTCTACAACCTGCAGAATTACCATTTGCTCAACTCAAAAAAATATATGACAGCGAATATGACAAATTCTTTACTAATAGCGACAAGCTAGTAACAAAATACATATTCACTAAACTCTTTGGACAGGATTATATTAAAACATATACCTCAACTGCTATATGTAATGCTTTCAAGACAACAGGAATATGGCTCTTCAATCCTGATGCCATTAGTCCTAGTTGTCTGGAGCCCTCGATGACAACACATAGATTCAACCTACCAAGTCCTGAACAACCCACTCACTCACTTGTTACACTAACTTCTTCTTCTTTACCTAGCTACATTTCAAGTTACCTCAGCCCAATCTCTATAAATGAAAAACTATGGTCGGAGATAGATGCACTTAATAAAATAGTTGAATATTTGGAAACAGAACTAGAGCTCTTTAAAAATCCTGGCACTAGTCCTTTGTGGCTGGTGCTTAAGTACCCTTTGCACCATCATTTGAAGCAGACAGCAGATCTGGAGGCAGATGGAGAGCAGCCCGAAACTCAGCAACCCAAGAAAAAATGAAAGACTATGCCCTTCGCTCAGCTCCTTACTAATGAAGAGTCTTTACATTCATTGAGGGAAGCGAAGAAGGAGGCAGAAAGAGTGGCCAATGAAAAAAAAAAAAAGAGGTGGCTATCCAGAAACGAATAGTACAGGAGATGGAAAAGGTGTAGAAGCAAGAAATGCACAGGCAAAAAAAAGAAAAAAAGGAACGTTTGAAGATAGATCAACAGCATATTAGAGAGGAAAAGCAGCTTGAAAAAAAAAGTAATTAAAAAAAGGATCTACTTGATTATCTATGTGCACCATTTTTGATTATTACCTTGAAAATCCCAATTTTCGAAAAAATTTTTTGTATCTTATAAAAAGTTTTTTTTTTTCTAATAAAAAAAAAAAATTTTTTAAAAAAAACTTAAATTTCAAGTTAAAATATACCTACTTTAATATAATTTAATAAAAGTTTAAGGCAATTTGAAGAAGTTTTCTTATTGATATATTTAACTGCACCATAATACCCATACTCACCTTATATTATTTTAAAATATAATAAAATTAGATAATATTTTAAATATTATTTTAAAATAATTTTAAATAATATTTTAAATAAAATTAAATAATATTTTATAATAAAATTAATATTATTTTAAAATAAAAATAAAAATAAAATTAAATATTTTAAAATAAATTATATATTATAATATTTTAAATAAATTTTTAAATAAAATAAAATATTATTTTATAATAAAATTAGATATTTTTTAAGAAATATAATTATTATTATTTTTTTTTTTTGGTATTAAGGTAAGGCCTTGCTCATATCTTTATTGGTAGTTTAAAAATTAGTAGCTACATGGAGCTGCTATATACAAAAAGTAATTTTCTATATAAATG